AATTTTGAAAATTCTGTCATTTTTAAATGTGATTTTATGCCATAACCTTTTTGTTTGCTTTCGTTATCAATTAAAGATGATGGAGAAGAATCATTAATGGAAGTTAAATGCATTAAATTTGATAAATGATCCAAAAATGCCTTGCGATAAATTAAGAAAGCATTCGGTCCTTTTAAATTTATTTGAGTTGGATCCCTTTTGGAGATTATATCAGAAACTTTGATCATTGGTGGAAATGGTGGTTTAATTAATTGTGTAGGCATATCTGATGAAGCAAATTTTGTTGTATTTGGTAATTTTTCTGCGATTTCGTCAGAAAATGAAGTTTGAGAAGAGATAGAATTGAAAATCATAGAAGATTGAGGAGACATTGATAAAAAATAAAAATAAAAATAAATAAAAAGTAAGTAGATTATTATTTTAAAAAAAGTTGTTTTTTTTGTATTTCGCTTATAATAATAAAAAAAAAATCTTTTTTTCTTATTTAACTTGAATTTTATAGGAATCTTTATAATAATAAGATAATAGCAAATATATATATATCTATGTTTTTAGCGAAAAAAACAAAAAAAAATATATACACCATGAAATTACTACGCAGTAGCAATATCACCAGAAGAGACGGACGTGATGATTTATATAATTTTCCCTATATGCAATAAAATTCCCACGTACGACTTACGTAGGCAATGCTTTTACGTATGACACGCAAAGACATGTGAAAAAAGGACCAAGAGAATATTATTCGACGAATCATTTAATTTTCACTGAACGAATGTTCTAAAAAAATGATGTAAATCTGCCTTTAAAAAAAAAAAAATGCTACAATTGATCTTGTTTCGGAACAGGCACAAATAACAAAGAAATAACAAGAATAACTAAGAATAACAATAATAGTCTGGTGCGCGCTCCTCGTGACCGTTATCTTTTCCCTAACCGGCTGTATACCTATTTCATCATTATACACATTATTTACGTGTCACATTATGTCACTAGCATATTATACTTTATCCTTTTTTAAAGGAAACGTAACGCGTCCAATATATGCAAAAATTTTACAATATATCTATTTATTATGTTTTATGATTTTATATCAAATCATATATTTTCAAATCTCTTAAAAAAAAAAAAAGGTGCGACGCATCTACACACTTTGCTTACAATTTTACAAATGATTCGCATACAAAATATAGATCGAACATTACACGACGTTAAAATAAAATAAATAATAACTATATATATATAAAAAAAAATTCCTTATATTGTGTATAATAATAGATATAATACGTACGTAGCTGAAAACAAGTAAAAATCAACACAACACCTTTTATATTGTATAAGATCCTGTATAATAATAACTGATGAACAATTAGCGGAATGTCCAAAGATATACTACAAACACGGATTTTCCATAATTCCAAATTAGGGTAAACAAATCAACCTTCCAAATTTATTTAAATCTTTTAAATCTCATTCAACATATTTGACCATGTAGGGCGGTTTATTTGCTAAATTTGGAAATTTTTGGAAAAATTTTAAAAAAAATTGATAAGCATTTTAGCTTGCATGTGGTTATACTAAAGGAAATGTCCTTTGGGACGCATTACATTTTACATTCGTTATAACAACAAATAAACATTTATATAAATAAGTATGCGATATTTTTTTTATGCAACATTTAAAAAAAGAATAAATTAACTTTTAATTGGTGAACTATCTATATTTAGAAATTATTACCGGTCCCTTAGAATTGGTCCTACCTATTCGTATCACCTCGCTTTATTCCGCGAGATCTTTAACTTCGTATTATTATTCTGTGTCATCATAACGTTAGGGTGCATAACGTGAATACTACTAATAACAACAGGAGCGAAGGAATTTGATTGTACGAACGGTTGCATACGCATATGAACAAATCAACGATGGGACTCGAGATATGCATTATGTTTTAAGTGCTATTATTTATGTGACATTTATTTAACGTGTGCACCTGCCAAGGACATCCAATCACTATTTAATTCGACAATTTACATACCCCATTCTTAGTGTTAGGAATAGATCTGCGTAATTAATATTAATTGCAGCAATAAAAATCACATGACTTATTATGTTATAATACAGTATCAGATATTATCGTTATGGTGCGAGTGACATCATTCACTATAATTTATTCATCGCATACATGACATACATGACGAAATCACACATATTAATTCACATATTACCGTTACAGTATTAATTCCTTAATCTTAGTAATCTTGCAGGATGTGACGCTGCCTATTTTTTTATTTTATTTTTTTTTTTATTGACAAATAACAGTTACATTCTTTAATTTTTTTTTTCGTACTCCAAAGATTGTAAATTGTGACGATGAAAATCTTGTATATTTCAAATAAACAATTAAAATATTTTTCATTCGAATTTTGTTGGGATAATTGTGTGATCTTTTATCTCGAATTAAATCGGACTCTTTTCATTATGATAGTCCGATAACGCGATTTTTATTTCCGATGTGATACTTTTAAAATCAGGTACGCTGATGTGGGTACATGGTTTTCTGTCCTTCGTCGTAATAAATAAACGCCAAACATTACAATGAATACTATGAATAGTTACTTCACGTGAATAACTATGTCTATATACATATAAATATTCGTGTATATGCTATTTATGGAACGCGATCTGTTCTTTCTGGTTGATTTCTTGTTATACGTGCGAATTCTTTTTTAGTTTGGCCAATAAAAACTAAAGTCTTTTTTTTTTTTTTTAATATCTACAGATTGAGCCATCATGATACTCAAAACTTGTGTTTGAGTTCACAAAAACATCAGCCTGCTCTAATAATATATATATATTTTTTGTTTTGTTCCACTGCAATATACCCTCTAACTATTTTCTCATTATGTATTCAATTTAACCGTTTTTCCATTAATTTTTAGTTTTTCTCCTTCATTCTGATATATATAGACTAACTCTTACTTATTCCCATGATTCTACATGCATATTCGCTAAAAAAATGCTTTATAATCGGAATATGCTAATTGTAATGGTTTTTTTTTATTGCCGGAGAAGAACGGAGACTTTTTTCTACTTTTATGATTATGCGTCTCGATGTGTGTTTCCTTTGTTTCACGTGACTTTTGTTACACGGTGAATTCAGGTAAACTTTACTCGGATGCTTCACCAACCTTCTTCTTTGGAGAATGTTCGATATTAGGAAGTTTCGAATGTTTACTTATAATTTTGTCGATGAATTTTGAATATATCGTCCTGTGCGATTAAAAATTGTCCATGTGATGAGATAAAAAGCTTAATTAAATATGAAAATTTCAAATTTTAATAACGAAAAGTTAATTGTTAGATCCGAAGATCACAAAAATAAATGTATTGGTTAACGTTAACAAGAGATAACAGATAAGTTAACAGGAGACAAATTGATGATCGTATAATCTAAAAACAGCAATAGGGCGGACATAACAAAATTTGGTCTATTATTTCTCCGTAACCTTCCCACTACAATCAGGATAATTATTTATCAAATTAAAATATTTAAAATATTGGGTAGAGTCAATAGAAAAAGGACAAATTTTTCTAAGTAAAAGTTTTCTTGAATTTAAGCTTAAGTATCTTAGCAATTATCTTATTAAATTTAATAAATTTTTTTTTTTTTTTTTAATTCTATATAATTTCAAGATTAAAATAAAAAAATTTTTAACAATTTTGATTAAATAGTTGTTGAGATATTTT